GGCGAGGAACATGGTCGTGTGCCCGTCTACGACACTTGCGATGAGATCAGGAAGAAGATCCGCGCTTTCTTAAAGAAGGACGGTATGTCGCAGGCTGGCTTTTGTCGTGAATTGACCAAGATGGTCGCCGCCGAGGGCCGCAAAGTCAATGCGAGCAGTCTCGCCAAGTTCATGACTCAGAAGGGACCTTCTGGCGGCTCCGGAAGTATCGTCTTCTACGCTGCTTACGTCTACTTCGAAAAGATCCGCGTCAGGGACGGCAAGCCAAAGTCTCAGATGAGACAGGAGATGGAGTCTGTCTGGGGTAAGCAGGGAATGGATATTCCTGAGGAGGGCAGAGGAGGACAGCGAAGCTACTGGTGCCTAGGCAATGAACGTCCCTATGAGGACAAGTACGGCAAGGTTCATTTCACCGGTCGCTGAGTGGTCTTCCATGTTGTTTTGTCTGTATGATAGGCGTTGTAGCGTGTACGGTTGCGCTTGAAAGGTTCTTGATATTTCTGTGCACGTTGTTTCTCCCTCCGTTCAACTTCCGCCATCTCTTTCTGTCACATCCACGGCGTCGATACCGACTCTCTCCTTGCCACTGACCCCCGTCATGGTGCCAAACCTGTACCGGACACACATCGACTTGACCATCCAGTCTCGATCTCGCATCTCCACTCCTGCCAGGCCGTCGAACGAGATCAGGATACTAGAGTCGCAAAGGTAGTACATGGCGCCTGCAATCGTCCGCGGGTCAACCGGCATATGGGGCCAGCGGACTGCCAAAGAACCAGCAACTGCCAGCATCATGAAGACAAGAATTGCCATGCTCAAATACGCGCACGTGTCCCGTGTTTGGTGTGTCTCGAGGACACTAGACGGGGTGTGCGACAGTGTTACTGGCAAGAAGTCGGCCAGCAAACTTGCAACGGCCAAGACACCTAGATAGAGGTGTCTCTGGCGGAGTGCAGAGTACAGCCCCGAGAAGGGATTGGTGGGTGGCGAGATAAGAACGGGGCGCTGTGCGGGCAGCGCTCTCTGCGACATTAGGAGGTATGGCGACAGAACTGCAACACCTGGACCACGGAATTAGCACGTTCTCCACGAATAGTATTCCACATATGAGACGACCTACGTCGGAAGAAGGTGCTCATGCAAGATCCTAATGCAACACCCAAGGCCGTGAAGAAGAAGCGGACCCCGAATCCTTGGCTGTTCATGAAGCTATCAAGACCGGTCTCGCCCCAGCTGTTCTCGTTGTAGAGCAGCAGCACCAGCACAACACCAAATAACAGGAGGATCAGGATCCGCCCCTGCAGGGTCAACAGGTAGAACGGCATGGCTGGTGCTCTCCGGGCAACGACCATCTTCTTGGGTCCTCTCTCAGGCTGGTCGTCGATCTTCTTCAGCAGGTCTCCGCTCAACCTGACCGGAAAATCTGCGACTCGGATTCCATACTGCGACTCTCCGCCGTCAGTACCAATGGCATATCTCCGTCTCGCCAATGCTCTAGAAAGATCCCAGTCGTCGATCCGCCGCTCGACTCCTCTATCCACGCCCTTGAGCAATCCTCTCATATCCTTGTTGACCCCCAAGGCAGCCATACCTGCAACGCTCCAGGGGTTCTGCCTCACGCCAGTCTTGACCCATGCAAGTAAAGCCACCATTCCACCAAGGAGCGTAATCAGCAAGATCATCAACACCTGCAGCGCCCGGCCAGACGCAATGTCAACACCTAGAGAACCCGGGCATGCTCCAGTGCAGTCGTTTGGGACATACACCCTGACCGCCTCTGCCGCCAGCGGTGGCAACAGCGCAGCACCCGCAACGAGTAGCTGGCTGACAATAATCACAGGTTGGCGCAACCTAAATGCTCTTGGGAATGCTCCCAACACCCCACGCCACCCGTGAAATCGCAGGAATACGGATGCCTCAGCTGTGCTGCCAGCTGGGTATGCCGTGAGTGCGATGAAGGGTTGGAACAGTCGAGCATTGACATCGATGGCTCCGAGTGGTATCGCCACTAGCACTGCTATTAGGGTCGGCAGAAATGAGGCAATGAGGTACTGTGAACGCGAGATCCCAATCACAACCACCACCGAGTTTGTGGTCGTGTCAGACGAGGATGAGGACGAGGATGCTGGGGTAGCAGGACCGCTGCCCGGCCCAATTACGGTGCCATATGTTGCGGTGAGGACCGCTGTGGTCGGGGCAAGGGTCATGAGATAAATTGATGTGATCGTGTCGCCATCTTTTTTGGTCATTGTCGTCGTTTCAAAGGTTGTTCTGCTGCTCAGCGTGGATGTGGTGACCGGACCGGTTGTGGTGACCCAAGACTGGCCTGGGCGGAGGACAACTGCCGACACCAGCGTGCTCGTTACCCCAGGAACAACGGATATCACTGCGCCGGACACAGAGCTACCGGCTGAGTCAGTCGTCACATGCTGGACTGTGTTCGTCGTTTCTTGTCGAGTTGTCACCTGTTGGACAATGGTCGTTGATGGTATGTCGCTCGCCATTGGCTCAGCGTGGGTCTTGGTGGTGAACGTGCTTGTGTAGACATTCTTGACTGTTGTCTCCTTCCCATCGCTGGTTGTCTGGATGCCAATCGTCGAAGTCACCGTGCCTAGAGACAAGTGACCCAAGGTGGCTGTTGAAAAGACAATGCCACAACCAAAGCAGATCGACGTCGATGTTGGGGGGACCTTGGCACTGGTCACTGCCTTGTCCAGGGTTTGATGTCCACCATTACCCGCCGGGGATTGACGCCCTTCTGAGTTCTGGCTGGTGGAGCTCTGACTCTCCGCGGTCGGCCCCTGCGATTTCTCGCCTTCCGTGGTCCCCCTCTGAGTGGTCTGACCTTCGGGATATCGGGCAGAGGAGCTCAGCCCTATGGATGCTATGGAATTCTGTATCGGCGGTTCTGAGCTTTGGGATGGACTCGACGACTCTGCGTTCCCAGGAGCCGTCGTGAAAATAGGGGTTGTCTGACTAGATATAACGAACGTAGTTGTGAGTACGGATGTTTCAGCCGGTGCCTTAGTCGTGGTGCCGGCAGGAGACTGTGGAAATACAACAACAGTCTTGGGGTCTACCGCTGTCGGCGGAGTTGTCTCGGCTGTGGCATTCTGCACTCGCGGCAAGAGGCGAGGAAACCGCCGCTCAGAGACCGAACGAGCCAGTCTCTGAAAATCGTAGTCGAGGCCATAATCGGGAAGCGAGCGCAAATAGTGCTCGGTCAGGGCAGTCAGCGTGATCAATACTGCCACCAAAACAACCATAAACCACCATCTCAACACCGTCGGCTTGTAGTTGTACACCGGGCTGTTCGGAGCCCTGGCAGTTGCAGCCACTGGCGGAGGCCGGGAGAACAGCTCAAACGTCGCCTCAAGCACTTGGGGTTTCTTCCCATCGTGCAGTCTCGAGTCAACAATACCCCTTTGAACACCACGATAGTGGGAGGAGTGGCTTGGACTCGACCGCCAGCTCGGACGGCTGCTGGTGGGTGAGCTGGACATGATAGAAGTCAGATGCAACGGCACATCATCTGATACAGCAGTGCCAGCATGACTGATAGTCCGGACATCCCCAAGTCCGGATATTGATTGCTGGTAGCTAGCCGCTAAGCAGTGGCCCGGATCATTAAAATCCAGTCTTTGCGTCTGCAGCCCCTCCATTTGGACCAAGAGACAGACGGCGCAGAAGACAGAATATGAAGTCAGCCACTTGGTGCCCCCTCGGCTCAGTACCGGCTCATGATATATGCGCCGAGGGAGTTCGGCGGCGGGATAGGGACACTTTCAGATATGTGGTCACTGATATTCCGGACAAAATATATTGACCTGGCAACCAGGAAACCATGAGTGGTCCATTGGTGTAAGGAGGGTGGCATCGTCAGCCGGCCACCCGGTGCTTCTGTATTTCGCCGCCACTGGATGTCGTTTGCGTCCTCTTCGGGCCTGGATGAGTTGTCACAGTCGGGAGTGAAGCTGAGCGGTCAGTTGTCGATCCCGCCACCGCGATCCGCCCGTCCTTCGTTGCATCGGTATGTCTCTGCGACCACCCAGTAGGTAGCTTTAGCACCTCAGATCCATGCAGTTCACTACGGTGATGGAGAAACTGGGGCTACTTCTGTGTGTCAAGCCAGGCTATGTGCCGCGATGGCCCACAAAGGGGACTCTGCACCATTATACATACATACTTAGACTACCGCCCAATCATGGCTACCAAGAGTGTGTTTCAACCTATGCACATCGGCACGAGGTTGGTCCGGAGGTCGAGCGGGTCGGGTGGCTTACCTTCCCCCAAACATCATGCTGGGTTTGAGTTTGTGTTTCTGGAGTGTAAGTGCCCTCTGTATCTGGACGTACCTTAGCTAGGTGACGGGTACTTGTGGTTGTAGCCACACAAGGGCTTGCGATCGACATCCAGCATGTCGTAAGCAGCACCAAGACATATATCTGTCTGTAAGCGTCGGCGACAGCCTCTGTCTCACGGGGCGACTACCGTCCGTTTACCTTGAAAGGGGTTAGACCATGCATGTGAGGTCGATCGCACGTCCGCACTCCTTCTATGCACATCAAAATGCATATGCAGAAGGGCCCGATTGGGGTTACACTTCCCCAAGAAACTCGCCCGTCCAGCTACCTCCCTCCTTTAACATGTAACGTGGCCTGAGGATATCCCCGAGTTCGTACTGGGATGAGAGACCAACCAAGGTAGCCATAACTCCCGAGATGCACCAATCGAATCGTGTCCTCTGGTCCGATATGTTGCGCCCATGGTTCTGAGGATCGTGTGTTCTTGTTTCCATGATGCATCATCTAGAATCGATCGGACCGTTCTGGTTGCTGTCGCATTGGTCATAACTGCACCGTGCACGCTGAATGCGATCTCAAGTCTTTGGCCTGCACACTCTCTATCCAACCCAGCTACAATAATTATGAGTGAGTGGACAGCAAAAAAAAGTCATAAAAAAAGATTATCCCTCTAATAATGGGATGGATGCCATGCTTAACCCCCGGCGGGGATCGAACCCGCAATCTCAAGATTTGTTAATAGAAGCTGTGTGATTGTCAGTGATGCTGTAGTGGGACTCTGAGGGACATCGTTACTGACTCTTGCGCCTTAGCCATTAGGCCACGGGGGCTATTACGATCTGCAATGACACGGTGTAGGCCAAAATTTGACCTTGAGAGGTTCCTCTAGCAAATGTTGGACCCAAGTAGTGGATATTCACACGAGTCATGGCATTGCGCGATCTGTGACTCCGAACCCAAGTTTTAAACTGCTGCCACCAAATCGAAGACCTAATATAGGTATGGCAGGGAAAGCTCAAAGCTCAAACAAAGTAAGTACCTTGATCAACCGAGAAAGGAATCAGGTCGGGTAAAAACGCCCATGCTATCTACCTACCTTACCTTCCCAGAGATCTGGAAGCCTACGACGTTGTTGAAACTAAGGTAGCAGCTGCATATCAACATTCTCATGGGTTGATGACTTCTTCCAGTGGATTGCAGTCCTTCGCCGCTGTAAGGGTCAGCCAAACAACAAGGCGTAGGTAGTGAGCAGATTCCTCCCCCTCTGACAATTCTGCGAGACAGGGGTGGTCTTTCTTTGACGCTTGACGGACGATACTTTGAGCTCTACACCCTTCTTTCACGGAGACGACGTGTGATAAGGCCTGTCCACGTCGAGACGATCAGCTTTGGCATTCTGCAATGTGCCTCAAGAGCCCAATGCTCGCTCCATCAGCGCTTACATGATGATATGGAATTGAGTTGGACGCGTGCCTGAACGGTCGAGGTGGGGGTCGGTACTGGGTGGCCTGTCCGCCCACAGGGTTCTAGCGGCGGACGCAGTTTGTGGAACCTCGTGGCTAAGAATGTCACGAATGCAGACCTACTACGGTGTCAACTTGAAGGCCAAAGAGCTGCCACAAGGCACACATGGTGTCTGGCAGTATCCGTGATGTGGGTGAAAAGTAGCAGGTACTGTTGTTGTTTTGTGGACGGGAGTTTCACAGGGAGTCTAGGAGGTAAAGGTACCTAAAGGTTGGGCGAGCTTGCAACCGTCGGCTTGGAAGAGGTATTTTACGTAATACACAACAGTACGAAGTACGTGCCGGATGACCCACCAAGATCTTATCTTCACGCAGATAAGCGAGGTACCTCAAGTTCCTTGGCACGTGTTGGTACCAGACAGGAGCTTTGACCTCCACACGTCATTATGCACCACCTCAGGTTGAATGAACATTTGCCAGACCAAACAAACCAATATCAGACTGCACATGGCACCTTCCGTCCAGTGAATCGACACATCATCCTCCCAGTCGCTCACGTTACTTCGGTCTGGCTCGAACTCTCCTCCTCGATCCTACCTGCCTGCCATAAGGTACCTCACTTATCTACGATTGCAAGCGACGAGAAGTGCCCTGCCATGCAGATTTTGTTACTGAACGACAACGCGAGTCGTCCTACGTGCTTAATGCTTCCTCGGCTGTTTTCGAGACCTAGCCTAGACTTGGCTTCGAGTTTGACTGTCCCGAATCATATTCGACACATCGAGTATCCAAGCTAGCATCACCGTCAAAGCAGTCCTCCCCCCAGCGAACAATGCCCAGAGCAATGTCGGCTGCCGCCTCGGCCACACAACAGCAGACCGAAAACGTCAGTCATTTCGATGGAACAACAACTGATGTCGAGCTTGGAAGTGTTGTGTCCGGTGACCCAGCCAGTCATAATGTCACCCGAATTGATTCCAGGCTGACGGAGACACCTGTATCGCCTCCCAAACGCCGGCCTGAGCGCACCAACACCTTCAGGACCGTTCAAGACTTTGAGAGCTTCCAAGTCCGTCCTGGCTGGCACCCCGGCGCCGAGCCTGGTGTCGATCCTGCGAAACCAGATGGTGGTCATGCTTCGATGCCCTCTCTTTCCGCCCCATGCGACATCACGATTGTCGATATTTGTCAGGACAATCTGGCGATACAACACCTTGACAATGACACACTGGGCCAATTCCTAGATATCCCCCAACCCGAATGGTCCATTTGCCGTTGGATCAACGTAAACGGCCTCAGCTGGGATGTGATCAAAACCCTTGGGCAGCACAAAAGCCTACACCAACTGGCAATCGAAGACATCATGAACACAAGGAATCGAACGAAGGCCGAATGGTAGGCACTCAACGAATCCCAAACTCCGGCGTTTTGATAGGGCAAGCCCCCTCTAACATAAGACATGATTTACAGGTTTCCTACACATGCCTTCATTGTTCTCACCCTCCAAAAGTTGGTCCATATTTGCGAGGCCCCCGACGACAATGACGACGATAAGTTTCACGAGTACGAAAGCGGCCATACCATGCAGAACGGGCGTAAAGATCGTCCCCAGGGTCTGCGTCAGCGGATCAAACGTGCACTAGGGATATACGCAGACAATGTTCCAGACTGGGGAAAAGAGACTGGCACTGTTGAACCAAATTCCGGTCCATTACACGATCAATCTTCTGGCACCACAAGTCTTTCTGCCAAGCCACGACTCATGCGGACGTTGCAAAGATATCACGGTCAACCAAACGACGCTCGTGCAAAATTCATGGAGGAACACTCTGCCCTTGCTTCTAGAGACCTCGCGGTTGCCGCTGAGCAGGTCTCCATCTTCATTATGAATGACAACACCATCATCTCTTTCTTCGAAATGTCTGCAGAGGATATCGCGAAGCCGATAATCCGTCGCTTACAGACACCCGACACAATTCTTCGTCAGTCGTGTGACGCCTCGATGATCGGACAGTCGATTGTCGATGCCATTATAGACCTGGCTATTCCTGTCGCGTCCTGTTACTCTGATGTTATCGCAGATCTGGAGCTCGACGTCCTAACAAGACCCAACATCACGCATACCAAACGTCTCTATATCATCATAACCGAGATCAACAAGATGGTCAGCTTCATCAATCCGATCACAAATCTCATCAATGCTTTGCGAGACCACAAGACCGACATGACGCAAGACCTCGCCACGAAGGAGTTGCAAAACCCCCAAAAGGGGGTCATCATTACTCCTATGACACTCCTATGACATATACCTATTTGGGAGACGTGCTCGACCATTGCATCCTGATCACCGACTCGCTTGACCAGATCAGAAAATCGGCTGACGGCATGATCGACCTGATCTTCAACACCATCTCCGCCCTCCAAAACGAATCAATGAAGCAGCTCACAGTGGCTACCATCATTTTCTTGCCCTTGACCTTCTTGACGGGATACTTCGGCCAGAATTTTGAGCCCTTCGACGAACTCAAACGAGGTATCTCGTTCTTGTGAGTTCATCCACATCTCGATTTCCCTCCGGGCGATCAATGTACGCTAATTCTCGATGTAGCTGGATCATTGCCGCACCAGTAGTGGTAGGGACTATTGTCCTCCTTCTGAGTCCCATGCTCTGGGATACAACCAGAACACTCATTCAGCGCTACCATATCGGACAGCTTAGAAAGCTCCGGAGAATCAGGGCTAAGAGGCGCTGACGGAGTTGTGGTATATCGAGCTGGAGTTGCATCTCAGCCGGATTGAGTATCATGCTCCGCATGAGTTACGTCTATATGCGCCAGGTTGTATCAAATGCTCGCTGATAGGAGTCTTGTCGAAGCCGGCATATGGATCTGGGCAGTACTTCATACCATCAACGGTTCTAAGACAAAACGGGAGTCCGGCTTTTGAAGTCAAGCCAGTAACCAAGAGCACTTGCATTACATGTCTATGACGCTCTCTGCCAAGCGCAAATCTAGGCAGCATATCGCATCTGACCTTGGCATGTAGTAGAGGGCGCGGTTTTAGGCCAGTCAGGGGTAGGCAAGGCTTTCCGCATCACTCCATGGTCGTGGTAAACCGCAGACCTTTATTTACCCAGCCCGTGTTTAATGAGAAGGAAAATTTACGATATTCCTGGGATGCTGCTATGGGACCGGGTTCAGTCAGACGTCATTGTGCCCTTGAAGGCCAGCCATGAATCCCTTTGGTGACCGGAAATGGGCAAGCCACTACAAGATCACTACATAGTACAGTCTCCTCAAGTCCGAGCATGCGGGCTGGCTTAAATCACATCGGGAGAGCCAATAGTATATATCGCCACGCTTTCTAACGGGAGAGGCGCCATGTTCCGTTTTCTGGATTTACCCGGCAGTTACTCTATTTGCTGGTAGCCGCTTGGTCGGCTCCTGGATCCAGCCGATTCAGATTGCGGCTACTAGGATACTATGTCCGGACTGGAGTTTCTCGGCTTTTCTCCTCATTACCAGCAAATTTCTATGAATGCCGCTCGAGACAACTTTCCTGGCTGTAGAATACACGGAGACTAACATTCCTATCCGGTTTGCGTCGACTCCTGGAGTCCCGTCAACGCGACAGAGGTATCCAGGGGTGTCTTCTGACTTAGGTCAATCAACCGTGTCGACAGAAATGACAGAAATGCAATTTATAGATGGCCAGATGCCGCCAAGTTGCTTCCCGGCTACGTAGCAACAAGTGTGTCCCGATCTTGGATCTTCCTCTGGCCACTCCTAACATGTCTTGGTAATCATCGCTTCCTCCTCCGCATCCCAGGATAACGGGCAGAATGTGGTTCGTCGTCTGGGGCTTCGTAATTAATATCCGGTCTGAGCGGCCGGTTCTCCATGTTGTCATCCCTGGTTCTCCACATCGGAAAGATGGCAAACATGAAAGTGGTTGTTGTTTAATTCGGAAACCTGGTGTATGAGCAGTCAATCAACCACTAACCTTTTATCCCCCTTCGCTGAGCAATGCTAACAAGTCAATCCCGTGAGCGGGAATGGCCAGAGATAGGGGCTCCAGTCTCGCTGCGCTTAAAAAAATCGAGGGTTATAATCGATCTATCATCCGGTACGCTTTCGCACAATGATCGTCCTCACGGCTGTTGTCGAGTGAAACGTTCCGATATTTCGTCCTACTATTCGTGCAACCCAAGATGCGGCTCATACGGCTACTGTCGATTGGTCTATACACCTCCTTGGCGACTGCAGGGCTGGAGAAGAGAGCCGCCATCGACGACTGTCTTTCGGGCGCCGGTGTACCTACGGATGCACGAGGCTCGACAGCCTGGAATCAAGATGTAGCCCCCTTCA